AGACTAAACAAAGTAGTTTCGCTTTCACAACGAAACACAGCGTCACACACAGCGGGCTAGAGTGAGCAGAGGCCGGCGGCTAGAGTGAGGAACGGCCAGCGGGATGAGTGAGCAGAGGCGGCGGGCTTGAGAACTGCGCGGCCGGCGGAGTCGACGAAGGAGCGGCAGGCGGGCTTGCGGCAACCACATGTGACGACCCCGGGCTGGACTCCACTTCGTCCACGGTGAAAGCTGATCCGGCGATCCACAGCGCAAAGTTGATATATTTCCTCAGCGACCAGTACGGATCAGCTCCAGGGATGATCGTCCTCTTTTGGAAGGCCAAACAAAGTAGTTTCGCTTTCACAACGAAACACACGGCAACAACAATACTACAGCGAGAATAAAAGTTACGCCTTCTTTCTTTGCGTGAACATTTGGGCGGCGTTATGCAAATCTTCCCACATAGTGATGTAGATATGTGGGGGCGTGTTAGAACGAGCCGTTTTAGGAGAACGTGGACAAGTCTTAACTTTTATAAAGAATATCTCTTTAGGTTTGAGACTTTAGTCTTTGCAACTTTAGGGATCTTTATCTATGCACGAACAGCTTGTAACACTCCAAAGAGAAAGGAAAACTTGAAATTGCATCATATGACCCCTGTAATAATATGTAATCATGTAATCAATAAAAAAAGTAGCTTTCGTCTGATTACAAGTAGCCTATTTTAAAATGTAATTTAATCAAATTAAAAGTAATTAATTTTTGGAATCTTATTACGTAATACAGATTACCCAGCTATGACAATTAAATTAATAATAGTTTTTTTTAATTAAAATTGCTTATAGCCTACACAGTATGCAGTATGAATAATTGTCTAATAATTTAAGAATGAGTCCTGCACGAGTTATGCAATCAATTGATTTTCCCGATTTGTAAAAATCTAGATAATTGTAGTATTTTGTAGAAAAAAAAATATTACACAGTAGTTTCATTATTATTATTATCTAAATAATAGTAAAAGTAAAAGTAATGACACGTGGTTGGTTGGATGACTTTTATTTTGACGCGCTCCCTTCCTGTGATGCTAGATTTAATGCCCGCTTCTCTACGTGCTCAGTTTGGGTAATGGTTTGCTAGCTTGTACTCGAATTGGCATTAGATTTTGCAATTTTGTCATGACGGTGAATTGTTTGCAAGCGTTATCGTTGCAGAACGTCTTTCAAGACAGTTTGTTTGTTGTGACTTTCTCATTTTGCTGTCGACGAGTAGTTGACATTCATGCAAGCTGTTTACAAGATTGATAACCTTTGATTTCCTGTAAAATGCGATCACTCTCCACATTCAATGAAGTCAAATAACATTTAAATGCTAGTTAAAAAGTTAAAGCTCGTGCAGTTAGTATTAAGATCGTTTTTTCATGCAATACGTCATTTTATACTGATCTCTTTTAATTGAGTGATTAATGTGATGCTCCACAGAGGACAGATGTGATGTCTGCTTCTACAGTCACTGAGGACGAGGTGGAGTTTGTGTCTGTAAGTGTGCCTAAAATGTCACCGCCTTGATTTCTAATTTGAGTTATTAGGACAGTTGTTTGGATCTAGGTCTTCACACTTGGGAACTGGATTTGAGCCTGTGTAATATAGCAGAGCTGAATAATTCTCATTAAAACCTGGTGTTTTAGGAGGGTTCTCTCAGACCGGTGTTGGAATGCATTGACCTGCTGAGTGACGGAGCGGATGAGGGTGGCATGTCTGCCGCACACACCGTGAGTTTCCTTAAACACTGTCTAGAATATAAAAATGAACAGTGTAGGCCATTCTGTCATCATTTACTCTCAATCATGTTTTTCCAAACCTGTAACCTTTGTTTTGTGTAATGCAAAAGAAGATGTTTGGCAGAATGTCCAAGCTGCTCTTTTCCATCATGATTCATACAGCCTAACAACAGAAATGTTTGCTGAAGCTTTATGTGGGGAACAGGCTGAAACTTCAGTAATCATTTTCTGGTGTTTTTGCAACTGTAGTGATCCTAACAGCTCCGAGACCATGAGTTCAATTCTCAGGGATTGCATATATATCCTAAATGCATTGTAAGTGGCTTTGCATTAAAGGGGTCATATGATGCGATTTCAAGTTTTCCTTTCTCTTTGGAGTGTTACAAGCTCTTGGTGCATAAAGAAGATCT